CATATAACTTTCCTCTAGTTCTTAAATGCTTCCTCCACCCCACTATCATGATCCCAATTCTACCTTACAAATCTGGCTAGACCAGAGGATGTATATTGGTACAGATAGCACAGGAAACACACAGGGAATCCAGGACAGATGACTCCTTCAGGACCAGTGGTGAGAGTGGCGATGCCTGGAGGGTGGAGGGAATGTTGGGTAGAAAAAGGTAACTGACTAACGAATCTGTGTATAGCCTCCTCTCTGGGGGATGGACAGCAGAGAAAGGGTGGGGAGTCGTTGGACAATGTAAAATATGACAATCAGCAGCCGATATTAAGGGCTCAGGTGGAAGGCAAGTGTTTTGAAAATGATGATGGGAACAAATGTACATATGTGCTTGACACAATGGATGTATGTATGGATTGTAATGGGAATTGTACGAGCCCCCAATAAAATGATTTTTAAAAAAAGAAAAGAATTTAACCTAAATTCTGCCAGTGACCAGTTACACACATTATCTTGGACAAGTCGAGAATTTCTTGATTCTCAGACTATCTCTATAAAGTAGGTGAACAAGATTGTTGGGGTTTCCTCTAGCATGGATGCAGAGGCTACAAATTACTTTGACGTGGTTCTTCTAGCCAAAGTCTCTAACTTCCACCAAATGATCTTTTCCTGCATGGGTCTGCTATGAAGGGTATGTAGGGGGGGGGGATACTAATGTGATTCACCTGTAAGTAACTGTACAGTATTCCCTGGAATTCCACTGTACTGTATATAAAAGGAGCCTTTTAAGAAGCAGGAGGGATATCAAGAGCCAGGAGCAGAGTATATCTTTGGGCTCTTGGATCCAAAAGACAGTTATAACATCAGAGAAGCAGCAGCAGCAGCAAAACCAGGAACCAGAGCATGGAACAGTGGTGGACTTCCCAAGCCCTGGAGCAAGTAAAGCTCTGTGCTTTTGTGCAGGAGGCTGGTTGTGGAGTTAGTTGCCTCTGGGTACTAATTTGGGGAACTAGGTTTGCTGACGCATGGGGCTTGAGCAATGCCTTGGGGTTCAGGTTTACAGCAGAGTGGTATGCCCCTGTAAGCATTTAATAGCAGGCCTGAAAGAACTTAGTGGCATGTCCTGACAAACACTCTACTATGAGCATTTCTTACCAACATCACAACATGTTAGCTTTCTTAATAAAACTCTTGAATCTGAATACTGTTTATTAAAAATTGTTGTTGTTAGGTGCCATTGAGCCAGGTCTGACCCATAGCACAATAGTGTTCTATGAGCAATAGAATGAAACCCTGCCTAGTCCTGAATCATCCTCACAACTACCCCTATGCTTGAGCCCACTTAGAAAATAGAGAAGGAAACTAAAGGACACTAACTGAGACAACACGACAGATATTTTGTAATTCTTAAATCTACGTGCCCTCTGTGAATTTCAAACACTTCTTAGTTTCAGTTTTTTGAAATGTCCTTAATTACCAGCTCTTCAGGTAACCAGAGCATCAGAAAACTTAAAATTCCAAATGAAACGTCTGATTATTTCATTTCTGAGGTTAAGATTTGAGGATGGTAAGCCTGTGGTGTGCCACACAACTGCGTAACTGCATAAAAGTAAGACCCTTAGGTGAGTTGTGTAACCAAACAGAAAGGGAAGTTTGTCCAATTTTATATGTGTTATGCTAAATATTTCAATTTTTCTTGCCAGTGGCTATAAGAATACAGGACTTAAATGCATGAAGTCCAATCACTGCTTACACGTCTACCATACTTTCAGTATGATGTGTTCATAAACTATGTAAAACTGTCTTACCTTTAGTCCATTCTGTGGGTTCATTAGAAAATTTCTTCCTATGTCATCGAACATAATGGTGTTTTTTTTGCTGTAAAACTCTGAAAACTTTCCCCATATTACACCAAGAGGTTTTACCTTAAAACAAAAGTTTAGATTTAAATCAAAAAGCCTGTGATACTTTAAAATACACAGGTATGTCAGTTTTCCCTCCTCCCTGTAATTATGATTGGCAGTCACCACACAGACCACTTGCCCAGAGTGGGGGATACTATCCATTGAGGGGCACCGAACGATCCAAGAGAGCTGAAAAAGCAGATACATACTTTATACTGGGTTATGGGTATAACACAAAAGTGTGTAATTATGGTGTACACTCATAAATGAGTTCCAATACTTTCAAGCCCTATGTGTATCACACAGTATAACTTATTAAGTTTCTAACTGAATTAAACCCATTTTAGATTTCCAATAATTTTAACATGAAGATTTTGAGTCAAATGAAACTTATTTAACCTTTACAGAAGAATGGAAAATAATTTTTTAGATGTCTACTACTCAAAGCAAACCCACCTCCATCAAGTCGATTACAACTCAGAGGCTATAGGACTGAGTAGAACTGCTCTTCAGAATTTCTGAGACTGCATCTCTAAGAGAAGACATCCTCACCTTTCTCCTGTGGAGTGGCTGGTGGGCCTAACCCCACAGCACCACCAGGGCTGAGAGGTCTGCTAGGCAATCCCATGATTTCCGGGGCAAATTAAGTCCTCCTCAAATTTAAATACCCCTCAAAGCTGATCACAAGGGATACTTTCAAATCTAGAAAACCTTGCTCTTGTAATTTATAACTTAGATATTTTGTCTGGGAATAAATGACATTAACCAATTCAATGGCACAGATGCATAATCTCTAGTGCATCCGACTTCTTAAATTCAAACACATCAGTTTGTAAAGTATTGCTCTTATTTCTGAATCCTTATATTAAGGCATTAAAGTAATAATCTCTTCTTTGTTCCTATCTTTGGTACTTACATAAAATCTCAGCAAGATCAAGAAGTAGTAAGACTAATTGTAGGGAGGGAATTAAGTGACATTGAAGATGGGAAGATGTTTTTCGTCATGTACTTTGCTTTTATTGTTGAACTAGGTCATTACACATTTAGAAAAGTTTTCATTTTTAAAAGAAAATTACTTTTTGCTGAAGGCAGGGACCTCATTTATTAATTGGGATAATAATATATGCTGACAAAGGCTTCTTCACGAATTCCTGCTGGGTTCTTTAATAATGTTTTCCTCTTGCAATTTATTTTAATATGGAGAAAACCAATTTATTCCCTTAGCCCCCTTTTATAAAACCAATTACTATTAGTGAAAAAAATTTCATTTTATTAAAATTTCATTTTACTGAATTTATGTATACTTATTTAGTACAAATACAATCCCTCTAGATGCTTGAAGACAAATACGACAGTGAGCCCAAAAGCACTGCGACAGTCACTGGATTAACACTTGCCTAGGGACGTGGCAGGGAAAGACGTGGGGAACGGGGAGCTAACAGCAATGAGTAGGAGAAAAAAATGTTCTGAAGTCAGTTTTGGTGATGATTACACAAATCTTAATATGATTGAAGGATAAGACTGTATTATATGTGAGACATATGCCAGTGAACCTTTTTTTAAGTACAGCTACAAAATTAGTGTCCTTTCATTAAACAAAAATATCAAAATGTGAGCTGCTTCTCAATACACACTCCTTCTAGATCTTTAGACTCCTGAAGACAATGGTTCCATCTCTCTAACCCAATGGTTTTCAACCTTTCTAATGCCGCAACCCTTTAATACAGGTTCCTCATGTTGTGGTGACCCCCCCCAACCATAAAACTATTTTCGTTGCTACATCATAACTCTAATTTTGCTACTGTTATGGATCGGGCGACCCCTGTGAAAGGGTCATTCGACCCCAAAAGGGGTCGTGGTCCACAGGTTGAGAACTGCTGTAACCCTTGCCTGAGTAACTCAGTAGTCTTCAACTTACATCCTATTGGAATGACAGTGGGGGCACCCTGCTGTTGTTAGGTGCCACTGACTCGGCTCTGGCACGGTTACCTCATGTACCTGGTCTGGAGCAACACTCAATTGTTAGGTTTGAGCCCACCGTGCAGCCACTATGTTGATCCATCTACTTGAGGATCTTCCTCTGTTTTGCTCTCTACTTTACCAAGCATGATATTCTTTTCTAGGGAATCCTTCCTGACAGGTCCACTGGTTTGGTGTTTATGCATTGGGCTGTGATGCACAAGGTCCATAGTTCAAAACCACCCACAGTTCCATTGGAGAAAAACTGGACTTTCTACTCTGTGAACAGTTACAGTCCCAAAAACTCATAGGGGTAGTTCTGACCTGTCCTGTGGGTTCACTATGAGCTGGCATCACCTGGATGGTAGTGAGAGAGTCCTTGATTACACAGAAAGGAACATGAAATGGTATTCCACCTGTCCTGCTTCTAAGACGGCCTGTGGTCTTTTCTTTTTAAGGGGGCAACCTAGAGAAACTCAAAATGTGTTCCTTTTAAATATCTTTTGAGTTTGGGGAACAAAAAGAAATCTTAAGTGCCAGTATCAATAGATGGGGAATAAGGTTCCCTAACAAATTCTTGTAGGACCACCCTGGTTTGATGAGAAGGTTAAAAAAAATGTCTTAATGCAACTCTCCAGGCCTTTTGCTCACCAATGCAGTTTTCAATTTTCTTAAAACTCCTCCATAACATGTTCCCATGATTGTCCTGTGTCCTTCAAGAAATTGTGCTAAGATCATCCCTTTGGAACCCGAAAAATAGCATAAGCTTCTGGCTGCTCTCTCCCTTGAATTTAACGGGCCCAGCTGATCGCATAGGAAGCCACTAATCTAATTGGACATTTTTGTTTCTGAAGACCATCCTTGGGAAAGTATGACAAGTGTATTAGTGAGAGAACTTGTCTGCAGCCATCCACTGATTGCAGAGACAGGTTTAAATAGGTTTTGTTTGGAATAAAGTCATGCATATATGAGCAAAACTTTGTGACTTACTTTTATATATTCTTGGTTTTGTTAACTAACAAAAAGCCTTAAGAAATGATAACAGTAGTCAGCCTTTATGATCCTCCAGGTGAGAATCCCTGTATCCTCCTAAATAATGCTGTCATTTTGTAATTAAGCTAAGCATCAACTGCTCCCCAAAACATGATCTGCTCTGTTTTCAATTATAAAATATTATTGCTAACTGCAGAAAAATTTAAATACAGAACAGCACCAAGACACACCTAAAGTTACCTACAATCCAGTACCAAAGATGGCAACTAGACGTTCTGGTGCAGCCTCAGAAGAGTTCACAGAGATTCGCTGTTACAATAAGGGGACTCTGGAACCAAACAAAGCTTAAGAGCTATTTTCTTACAGTTTATAAATACTGCAGAAATGTTTCTTTTATTAAGAATTTACCATGAAAAAATGTTAGTGTCATTAAATATATTCTGTAACATCAAATTATTAGATACATCCTAGTAAGCCAGCGGTTCTCAATTTGTGGGTCGTGATCCCTTTGGGGCTCGAACAACCCTTTCACAGGGGTCACCCGATTCATAACAATAACAAAATTACAGTTATGAAGTAACAACAAAAATAATTTTATGGTTGGGGGGGTCACCACAATATGAGGAACTGTATTAAAGGGTCACAGCATTAGGAAGGTTGAGAACCACTGTAGGAAGCTGTTTAGATAACCGATTCTCTATTGTTGGATATTCAAGATGATTTTAATTTGTCATGATTACAAAACCGTCCATATTTTTTATTTTCAAAATCTGTTTACTTTTAGATTTGTAAAATGTCCCACTTTAGTAAAAATAAATTACATGATCATATTTACAGTATTTCCTTTATTGAAAAGGTTTTATGTACTGAAACTATTTATGATTTTGACTTAAGATTTTAATACTACCAAAGCTTTCCTAGGATCCTAAATTCTTCCCAATTCCTACTAATTTGTAGGCTTTTAGCAGCCCTGGACATTCTTCATCTTTTTATTCCCAAAGTGCATGGCACAGAGCTCTGTAGGTCGGAGGAGCTCAGCAATATGAGTAGTTACTTAGTCAGAAACAAAGTGAAGAACTCTAATCCTTTCAACCATATAAATCTATGGAGAGTTAAACGTCAGGAAGTAGACTTGGATGAAAAATGAAATGGAACTTATAAGGATGAATACGCTAGGGGTTAGTGGGCTGAAATGGATAGTATATTTGAATCAGATAATCATATGATTTCATATGCAGAGAATAATAAGTAGAAGAATGGCCCTTTCCTCTACCGGTTCTTGTAGCCCTTCTGTTGGGCTGCACATCCAACACCCAATGGCACACCCAGCATGGTGGTTTGGCTGCTGGTTTCCTTGCTCCTATGCTCCTTGCTGATGCCCAGTCCTTTCCTCACTTACTCTATCTGTGGCTGCCAGCATCCCAGGATGATTTCCCACAGCCACGAGTTGTATTCTTGATATTTCCATCTCAAGGTCATTAATTTCATGGCTAAAATTTAGATGTTAGCTTTGTATATATCTCCCTAAATCAAAACACAACTATTATTTTACTACCAACTTGGATAAGTTTCAAACTCCTATAATGTATTCTATCAGCATAAATACAGTACCCAGGTCTTTTAAGAGAAGGAAAATGACTTCTTACGTCGATGAGTCCTCGCCTCGGAGTGTGCACTGTTATCATAGCAGCGCTGTCCAACATAAAGGTGATCTTATAGTTTGCATTTGTACTCACGCCCAGCTCCTGGAAACACAGGTAGTCATGGGGTTAAAATGTGCTTAAATTAATGTGGAATTTCATGCTTCTCGAAGAGATCAGCTGCCACTTCCCATCATGTCAAGTTCCTGCCCTCTTGGTCACCACATCTTGCTAAACAGGCAACAAATGTTTTTGCTTCATTTAGTTAAGCCAAATTGTGGTAGTCTGAGGAAAATAAACTAGCAACACACATTACTTCCTATTTATCATTTCAGAAGGGAACTATTAACCTTTTGAGTACTATGCATAAGAGCAAAAGGAAGGGAATCAGTACAATAAACTGGGAAAAGTAAATCAGGAGGGCACTCAGTAATTCTTTGTCTTAAACAAGAATGAAGTTTTCAACATACTGTATCATTAAATAGACTCTAAACACACTTCTACTCCTGATATTTATATCTGCTTATGACTAAATGCTGGCCAGTGAGAATGAAATCAACTCCTAAAACTTCCAACATGACAAATGCAGTTCAGAACATTTCAAAATGGATTGCTTTCTAACACTTACTTTCATTTTAGCTTCAATCCACTTCATATTTGTTGCAGCTAAAACATGAGGAATGATAACAATACATATGAAAAGCTTGAATTTCACTTCAAAAACTTTCTTCTATATAAGTTTTCTAAGACTAAAGTTTCAATGCATCACAAATAACAGTCCCTAGCATATATATAATTTTCTTTAAAATATTTATAAGATAAATGCACTTTAGGTGTCTTCAAGACAAAATGTAAACAACTTACTCATAAGGTACAGGTAACCAATGTTCAAAAAGAACTCTGAAGCTGGGAAATTTATAAATCAAATTTCCCTTTTGAAAATAGCCCTACCACTATTGCTATCAATTCCACACTTAAATTTAGGGTACCTGAATGTCAACTTTCTTCTCTGTTTTTACTTCCAGGCTATACTTAGGTGTATACACTATAGCAATATAAGCATATTAATTATGTATCAAAAGTCACTTTGTTGTATTGTGGTGGCTTCCATGTTTGTGATGCTGGGAGCTATCCCACCAATATTTCCAATACAAACAGGATCGCATGGCAGATAGGTTTCAATGGGACTTCCAGACAAAGACAAGACAGGAAGAAGTGGTAATCTAGTACTAAAATACTAAAAAAACTGCAGAACACGGTCACTATCTGATATTGTGCCAGACAAACTCCTCAAGCTGACGATACTCAAAGTACATGTGGAGAAGAGCTGCCTCTTCATGGTACAGTCAACAGCGATGGCGTTCCCAATGGAATAAAACTCTAAGCACCCGCACTTGCTGTTGGGCACAAACCAAACTGAAAAGAAACAGTTGCATCTATCCAGTAATAATCAGAGCATGGAATGTACACTGTACGAATCTAAGAGAATTTGAAGTCATCAAAAATGAAATGAAATTAATAAAGATTGATACCTAGGTATTAGTGAGCAAAAATCGACAGTATAATTTGAATCAGATAATCATATGAATTACTATGCCAGAAATGACAAACTAAAGAGGAATGACATCACATTCACTGTCAAAAAAAATCCCAAGATCTAACCTGATGTACAATGCTGCCAGTGACAGGCTAATATCCATACACCTACAAGGAAGACCAGTTAATATGACTGTTTTTCAAAAATACACACCAACCACTGATGCCAAAGATGAAGAAATGGAAGATTTTTACCAACTTCTATACTTGGAAATTGATCAAACATGCAATCAAAATACATGATAATTACTGGTAAACTAAAAAGGACCAGTAGTTGGAAAATACTGCTTAATGACAGAAACAGCGTGGGATATCGCATGATAGAATTTGGCAAGACCAACAACTTATTGCAAATACCTATTCTAACTAGCAACTATACAAGTGGACCTCACCAGATGAAATACACAGGAATCAAATCAATTATTTTTGTGGAAAGGGATGAGACAAGTTCAATATCATCAGTCAGAACAAGGTTAGGAACTGACTGGAAAAAACTCTTCGGCTATAACTTCAAGTTGAAGCTGAAAAAAATTAAAAACAAGTCCAAGCGAACCAAAATATGGCCTTGACTACATTCTACCTAAGTTTACAGACCATCTCAAGAACAGATTTGATACAGTGACTACTAATGACCAAATATCCAACAAGTTGTGGGATAGCATCATACGTGAAGAAAGGGGTAAGAAAGAAAAAACCAACAAAGATGCCAGAAGAGACTCTATAGCTTGCTTTTGAATGAATATAACAGCATAGAAGGACAGCAATCAGAAGAAATGAAGTAAAAAAGTTAAACAGAAAATGTGAAAGAGCTGCTCCGCAAGACCAAGTATTATAATGAAATGTGCCCAGACCTACAGTTACGACAAACAGAAGAACATCCCAACACATATCAAGCTAAAAGAAATGAAGAAAAACGTCAATCCCTGAACACAGTATTGAGGGATTCTATGGGCACATTAGGGAACAATGCAGGAAGCATAAAAAGAAGATGCAAAAACATTTCTTTATTGCAGTGGTCTAGACCCAAACCTGAAATATTTCTGAGGTCTACCTGTACATGAGTGCTCAAAATAAAAATCTTTAGCACACATCAAGAAAAATACAAAAGAATCACGTTACATGTAGAACTTGTAAATTAATGTATCTAAAATGGAAACAGTTATGACATAGGAGAAAAGCATTTTTTTAATTCAGTATCTATTTTCCTTCTATAATTCCCATATGAAAACAGGACCAAAAAAATCAGCTAGTAAAATGTCCCAATTATTAAGTAACTATTACGTGTCAGGCATGGCGCAAGTTGCTATTTTAATCTTACATCTACCCTGTAAAATAGGTCCGGTTATCTTCATTTCTCATATGGGGAAACTAAAGCGCAGAGAGATTAAGTGAATGTTATAAAGTAGGGCAGCGCCTGGATTAGAACCTAGTATATTTAGTTCTAAAGTGCCCTTTTGAACATAATACCCTGAAATAACTTATATAAACCATTAATTTTAAATATATCATTCTGAACACATTCTCTGGGTTCCTAGCCCTACTCTAATGACATTTAGTGGGTGAACTTTTTCCTCAAGTCAACTCAGGTGTCAGAAGCTGCTGAACAAAATCCTACTCCCAGAAACCTTTCCTCCCTCTTCTTATTAGATCAGAAAGCAGTTGCATTTTAAGTATATAACACTAACACAGAAGAGTGGAAGTAGTCTGATTACAAGGAAAAGTAAAACAAAAACTTACAGACTGCAAAGTTCTTATTAATCAACTGGTATAATTAAGTGCAGCATTTTTAATTATGAGATTTTACTTAACTTATAATCAGGATAGTTCTTCTCTACTTATGATACTTCCAAGAATCAACTTTCAATGTTTGTGGGAAGTATCTAAAGCCTCTGCCTATTACTTTTGAGAAAGTTTTGGAACAAAAAAGACATCCAATGAAATAAACAGTGAGCTCAGTAACATAGTCAGTTTGCTTTCTGACACAAACACATTATCTAATCACACACAGGTAGGTAACTTCTTGGAATGGCCCTTAGATCATAATTAAAAATCACCACTTTAGCCCATGTTAATTTGTTTTCTTAAGTAAGTGCATATGGCCTTTTTCCTGAGGAATTTTATCACTGTGTTGTTTAATATGCCTTCCTTTAAGAAAGGAAGTAACATTGTCATGAAGTGCCAAGAATTCTACTTCAAAAAGAAAAAAAAATCTGCTTCAGAGTGGGGCTGTTGTAAATGTTTTAATCCTGACACCACAATCTACTCTGTTTTATACTTAGTTACTGCAGAGGCATTTGGCAAATATGTATAAGTTTATGTGATGATACAATAAAGTTTCACTACACATTTCCTTAAAAAATGCATGCTATTTTACGTCTTTTCATAAACAGAGTATTATAAGGAAGAAAATATTTATTTGCATGATATCTAAACAAAAAACATAGCTTACACCAAATAACAATGTCATAGTCCTCATAGGCAGATGTTAGGAATTCATGAAGATATGGCCGCATTAATTCTACCCCAGTCTCTGCACAAGACCTGTGGTCTAAAAGAAAATCAATCACAGATGATGATTAGTTTACTGCCACGGAAAAGTACTTGTTTGTTATCAATGAAGCTTACAAAATGCAATATAAACACTTTTGGTTTAAATTACAAATTCAATTCAGGTTGAATTACATATTTCACAAAGATATCTTTGAAAACATAAAACTTCCTATCTTGAGGTATCAACCTATTAATTTTAATCAATTTGCAGAAAGTTACATGAAGAATTTGGGTTTCTATAGTAAATTGTAAACCATGTTTTCCTTATCAAGTTCCTGAAGTCTAGATATTTGTTTATAATGACAAACTACTAATCAATAAAAAAACCAAAACTCACTGCCATCAAGTCAATGCTGACTCATGATGACTCTCTAGAACAGAGTAGAACTGCCCCTGTGGGTTTCTAAGACTAGAAGTGTTTTCAGGACTAGAAAGCCCCATCTGGAGTGGCCGATGGTTTTCAACTTCAAACCACAGGGTTTGCGGCCCAAAGTGTAAACACTACGTCACCAGAGGTCCCTCTCATAACAGGCTAGGACTGCCTATAACTCACTTCAACCATTCCCCTACCAGTGTATTGAGTATCATAAAAATGACAAGTGTAATTAATTTGATAATTAAATTTTAAAATAAATGTACATAATATATGTTTAAAGTTCAGGATTCTAAATAAGTTCATCATAACAGGATTTAAATTAATCATTTCTTGGCAACACTAGAGCATGAAATGAGCATTTTACTTTTTTGGTTGGCATGAAGAAGTTTAAGTTTTAGAATCTTCTCTGATTACAACTGAATAGAATACCAAGGAAAAATATTTAAAATAATTAAAACATTTTCTCACAGAAATTTTAATGTTAGTAAATGGGTATAACTTGGGTGACATTAGGATACATCCATAAACAAGAGTATTGTGAGAGCCACCCTCCCCCAAAAAAACCTGCTAAATGATGTTTAACATGAATTTGAATACATATTATTTAATATATTCAATATAGTATATTGAAATGTTCGATATATTATTAAATAAAACAAAGGGGAGAAAGTGAAAACAAGCACAAACATACTCTGGAAAATACACATGCAGAGTGGTCAATTTGGAGTCTCGGATTACAAGCGGCTTTTTGTTGCTGTATATCTGTATTTCCTACAATGAATGATTTACTCTTTAATAATGAGAAAGTTGCTGGGGAGCGGGGGAGGAACACTCTTGTGGGGGAAAAGAACATTAAGAGTATTTTTAGTTGACTTACCAAACAAAGTATAATCAACATCTAGTACCAAAAGTTTTTTCCCTTCCCTGGGAGGATTTAAAATTTCCACTTTGTACTCTTTGACTCTGCGAGAGATTTTCAGGAGGTTTTCTTCTCTAATGGGAAAAAGACAACCAGGTGAAACATTAACTTTTTCTATCCTGGCAGACAACTTCCACTGAGCGGGAAAATCACTCACCTATTCTCCACTTCAACTACTTCATCTTCAATATCAAAGTCATTGACAACGTCATCATTGTCAGGGGGTGGACCTAAGACATCTTCCTAGTAAGATGGTAGAAAAGCTTTGCTTTACCACATTGTCTTTAATACAACAAACCTATGTCTAGAACAAAAATCAACTGAAAGGTACAATTTGTGTTCAAGCATCTCTCAAGTACATACTGTGGGAAACTTCCCATAAAGAACAATTCATTATATACGCCCACTGGGCATATATGTGAAATTTAACCATTTGGGTTACTACTCAAAAGTTCCCAAGTCTTTATCTTCTGCTGGGTTAATAGTACATTCACTAAGCAACTTTCCTTCTCTGAAAATTTTATAATTAAAATATGATACAACAGGGTAGTATAACTCATACTAACTTCAAAGAGACAAATGGTAACAAAAGTAAACATTTACCAAGCTCTCCTCACGAGTTCCCATCATCATGATTTTAGTATTTGGTTTCAGTTTGAGAGCTCCAAGCTTAACATCATTTTCTGCTGGTTTGCCTACAATACAAGCAAATGACTGTTTTCTCACTAAAGTTCAGAGGCTGGTTTCACTATTCCATTACACAACACCCTAACATTAAAAGGCTTGGTACAGCGTCCACAGCAGTTTGACATGTACTGTTCTATTCCGCTTTTCCTTACATTGCCAAAGCAGTACTGCTGAATCAGAGTTGTACTTAAGACTGAGAGGTAAGAAATGATACAGGGTTGTTAGCCTCTGACTCCATCGTAGAGCCACTCCTTTATTCAATTAACTGAACCGAAGAAGTCATGGTTCATTTTGTTATTCAAGATGAAGTTAGCCTTTTCCAAAACGTTTTGTGCTTAAAAAACCATCTACTCAAAACTCACCCTCCAAAGGTATGTCAGTTACAAACACTATGAACACAGCCTGTAATTTGTAAAAAGTATTGCTTTCAAAAGGGAAAAGATCATTTGATACAAGTACAACGCCCAAGCTATAATGAAAAGGCTATGGTAGAAGTAAATGTCAGAAAATAAATTATAGTGTTTTAATCTGGGACTTCCTGACAAAAGTTTAACAAGCAAACATCAACTGTTAAAATTCAAAAGCAATCTCAATAATAGGTGGTATTTTCTAGAAACTTTTCATCTTCCTGCCTTTACTACTAAACAATAATAATCTCTCAAAAGAAATCTTCAAGGGGAAAGATTTATTAAAGAATATTTAAAAATTGTCAAATATATAAATGCCAGAAGGAAAAGAAAGAAAAGGGAAAAGAGATAATTGATCATTACCTTTAACTTTGAGTCCAAGTAACTTCTGTCGCTCTGGCAGGACTCCTGTAAGGGTCTTGAGAAACTGCTTGAGATCTAGCACAGTATCATCTTCGGATAGTGTGGTCACTGAATATTCCTGTCCACCCCATTTCACAATCAGAGGAACAGCCATCTTTGAAACATATGACGAGGCAGTCCAATCAGAAAAATATCGAGGGGGAAAATTTCAACCTAGGATAAAACACAGACAACCAAACCCATTAAAAGAAACATAACCAAATTTTTTCTGAGCATGTGCAGTTTGATTCCTATTGTACAATTTAATGGTAGTGAAGTCATTTTCTCCTTATAGCAATGCTACCATAACACTAAGAATTCAAAGTTAAAGGTAATTCTCCTGCCCTCCCAATCTTAGTTTCTCAACTCAAAACTCATTGCCATTAATTCTGTCTCATAGTGAGCCTATAGGCTAGGGTAGAACTGCTCCTGTGGGCTTGAGACTAACCATCATTTAAGGAATTAGAAAGCCTAGTCTTTGTCCCTTGGAGCGGCTGGCTGTTTCAAACTGCCAACCTTACAATTAGCAGCCCAACATGTAACCATTACATTACTAGATCGCTGGGTCTTTTAAAGAATTAGTCTCAGAAACACATAGCTCTGAGTTCTCCCTGGTCCTGTAGGGTTACTATGAGTCAAAATTGATGAAATGTTAAGTGTAAGAGTAATCCAAACACTGCCATCGAGTGGCTCCTGACTCACAGTGACCCTATATAGGGCTTACAAGGCTGTACATCTTTAGAGGTACAGATAGCCTCGTTTTCCTGCAGAGCAGGTGGCAGGATTGAACTGCCAACCTCTCAGTTTGTGTTGTATTGTTAGATGCCATGGAGTTGAAGCTAATTCATAACAGTGCTATGTACCAACAGAAAAACACTGCCCAATCCCACACCATCTTCAGTTATTTGTCAGTTAGAGCCATTGTATCAATCTGTCTCCTTGAGAGCCTTCCTCTTTTGTATTTGACCCTCACTTTTTCAAGCACATGTCCCTTTCCTGGGACACCCGGAGGCAGTTCTACTGTGTCCTGTAGTCACTAGGAGTTAGAATCAACTCAACAGCTACGGCTGGCTGTGATCCTGGCAAATTCCTTTATCGTGTATCACCTACCTTCATTTCACATTGGAGAGGTAGTACAGAATAAGTCATTAGGAGCACAGATTCTGGAATCAGAGTACCTAGATTCAGATCCAACTTACTAGTTATTTGATATTGGGAGTTACTGGACTCTTTGTGAGTGAGTTTCCTCAATGTAAAGTAGGGATGATAAAACAACTTAATTGTGCTCAAGCAGAACCTATACATGTATGCAAACAGAACAAGGGAATAGTGCATGGTTTAAACACAAGAAAGGTATGCTTAGGGTTGCTTCCTTTCATCAATCTGTATGCTGGGCAAATAATCAGAGAAGCCGGGTAACATGAAGAAGAATGTAGCACCAGGATTGAAGGAAGGCTTATTAACAACCTGCAATGTGCAGGTGACACAACTTTGCTTGCTGAAAGGAAAAAGGGCTTGAGACACTTGCTGATGATTAAAGATTGCAGCCTTCAGAATGGATTACAACTCAATGTAATGAAAACCAAAATCCCTCAGTTGAAACAATAGGTAAATCATAATAAACAGAGACTGAAGTAATCAAGGATTTTATCATGCTTGGATCCACAATCAATGCTCATGGAAGCAGCAGTCAAGAGATCAGATGACACATTGTACTGGGTAAATCTGCTGCATGTGACCTCTTGAAAGCAAGGATGTTACTTTGAGGACTAAGTTGGCCCCGATACAAGCAATGGTACTTTCACTTACTTCATATGCATGAGAAACTTGAACACTAAATAAAGAAGACCAATGATGAATAGATGCGTTTACATTGTGGTGCTGGCGAAGAATCTTGCATAGACACTCTCAAAAGAACCAACAGATGTCTTGGAAAAAGTAAAATCAAAATGCTTCTTGAAAGCACATACTTTGGACACGTTGTCAGGAGAGACCAGTTCCTGGAGGAAAACATCATGCGTGGTAAAGTAGAGGGACATCAAAAAAAGAGGAAAGCCCTCGGCAAGATGGTGACACAGTGAGGACTGGGCAGTGGTGCGTTTGTACGTAGGGTGACTATGAATTGAAACGGACCGATGGTACCTAACAACAACAATCCTACTTTCTTCATAGAAGTAGTATGAGGATTTGGTTAAGACTACATTCGTACTTACAATGAGCACTTATATAAGCATTGGCTAAAGTGAAAACCAAACAAGACACTTGAAAACTTAATTATGTTCCAGACACTGTTAAATGGTACAGTCATTATTTCATATTTCACTAATTCTTAAGCAATCTCGTTTAATACTCATTAAAGATTGTAAGATCAATTTTTCCTGTTTTATAATTGAGAAAACTAGAATTCAAAGCCTACAGTATATAAATGGTCACAGCACAGCTGTTAAAAGACCGGGTCTTCTGACTAAATCTCGTTTCTTTCCCTACACAACTGTCTTTCAACTGTCTTTCTTGAACTGGACCTGCAGGAGTTAAGATATCTAAGATCAGTATATACAAAGCACTGGCAAGTATCTCTCACATAAACATTATGTGGCATCTGCTACTCCTGTCAACAATAGCATGTGCATATCTTCCCCCACAAAGTTTTCCAAAAGTTATCATAAACTCATTCTCTTCACAGGTTAAAATTGGCTTTTCTCATCTAGATGTGTTGGTATTTCCAAAGGCTTTCAATTATTTCACATGTATGTATATTGTACTGTTCATGTATGAAGAACAAGTGCCACCTCAAAAGACAAATTTTGAATCTCAATATACAAAAATCCTTGGAAACAAAATGGCTTAGGAACAACAGACAAGGACCCATAAATTCACCTGCATTTACTTTTTCGTGCTAAAAATGTACTCTGCTGAAAATTGAAAGGAAATTAAAAAATGAAAACAAATGTATTAATTTAAAGCAGTGTACCCGATTCCATAAAGAACTTATTGTAATAGGTATTACGATACTGAAAAAAAAAATTTAAGTGAACCTTTTGAGTCAAAAATGAAAATATGATCCTTTTATTTTTCTATGGGAATAAAAATGGTAACTTATAAAACCTGGGAATGCAATCAACACTAATACAGTATGTAGTAAGATGAGTAGAGCAGAGTTTTGAATGCAATATGAGTCCAGGTGAGCTCGGACAAGTCATTTATCTTCAGCCCAGTGGTTCTTAAAGTATGGTCCTGAAGGTGGGGTGGAAAGGGGGAACTGATTACAAGGATCTACATATAACCTCCTCCCTGGGGGACGGACAACAGAAAAGTGGGTGAAGGGAGACATCGGACAGTGCAAGATATGACAAAATAATAATCTATAAATTATCAAGGGTTCATGAGGGACGGGGGAGCAGGAATGGAGGGGAAAAATGAGGAGCCGACAGCAAGGTCTTAAGTGGAGAGCAAATGTTTTGCGAATGATGATGGCAACAAATGTACAAATGTACTTGACACGATGTATCGATGTATGGATTGTGACAAGAATTGTTCGAGCCCCCAATAAAATGACTTTTAAAAAAAACAAAGTATGGTCCTGGGCAATTAGTTTGACACAAGGGAACTAGTTAAGAATGTAACTGAGAGTGGAGGCCAGAAACCTAGCAATATGTGTGTTCCCAAGTCCCTGGATGATTCTGATGCACAAACAAGTCTGAAAGCCACTACTCCAAGACAGTTCCGTTTTCTTATCCTTGAAAATAAAAATATGCTGATGGGATGGTACTTCGATGCTTGGAACAGCAGTTACAATCGTTATGGATATGGATATTCCAAGTGGGCAAATGCTCTGAAGGACCAAGCACAACAATCAGAGAAATTTAAAATGCATACAAGTCCTTCAATTTTTGAAGGTACTGAACCGCATTTCTTTAAGCTTCAGATCATTCACACCAACTACAGCAGCACTATAAGAATACTTGAATCATTTTATTTTCACATTGAGCCTGTCTTCCTTACTACTCTATTATCCGAAGTCATTTTTCACCCTACCAGAATTATAATTGGAAACTTGTTAGGAGGGAGGAAGGAGGGCACAATAGAGCCCAAACAAATACACTGAGCACAGAATCAAGAACAGCTGTTTGGGCTCGGACGTCCCCTCTGCCTAACATACTGTGCGCTTTTGGTAATTCCTCAATTGCTACCACTGGGGCTCAAGTCTTCCACACGGGATATGGCTCCCAATATTTACTTGACAAGACAGTGTTGCAAGGCACAAGATAACAGCCGTGACAACGCTGCGGCGGCGGCAGAGTCATGGTAACAAGCTGCACGGTTTAAAGGGAGTATCCGTGTACGCTTCACAATGTTTCACGGATCAGACAGCGCGAGAAGTTACTTCACTTTCCAAAGACCACACTAGAAAGCTGCAGAAGTTAAGAACTTGAAGTGACACCAAAAGCACCCTCTTAGGAATTGACGGGAACGGTGGTTAACTTTTCAACAAGCCTGGAGATGGGTGAGCGGTTGTTAATACCGTCAACTCCTTGGCCAGGACCGAGCAGCAGCAACCGCGCGGACGGACAGACGCGGGGCGGACAAACTGAAGGGACCGGCTGGGGCAGCGTCGGACGGCAGTGCAGACCCCGAAGGCCGAGGGCCGGCTGCCTTGAACAGGGAGCGTGACCCGGAGGGGCAGGGAAATCCGAGAGGAGCGAAGGATGAACTTTGGAGATGCCAAACCCCGGGGGCGCGGGAACCCCAGACACCGGCGAAAGGCCGGGCGGGAGTGCGGCGGCCCTGACGGGAGAGGGCCGGAGGCCAGGGCCCGGCCGGCGGCCCGGGACCACCGCGGCCCGGGGCACCCCCCATCGCAGCCGGGGCCGCAGTGGAGGCCTCTCGGGGAGCGAAGCAAATCGGCGGGCCCCGGGCCCCAAAGGCGCTCCGCCGGCACCGACATCCCACGTCCCCTCACCTGGAGAGCGGCAGAGCCAGGGGCAGCGGACGCAGGAATTACCCACAGCGGAATCCCGGCGACCGGAAGTGAAGGACAGGGCGCGTAACCGGCGGATGAACCGGAAGTAAGTGGCTAGAGGCGGAAACACGCTGCTCATTAGAGAGCTGCTCTCTGTTTCTCTTCGGGGGCGAACCCTAAATAGCCGCTAGGAGGTTCGACTCGAGGCTTCGAGAGTGTCGGCGTTTTCCGGGACTGGGCTGTAACCATGGTGCAGACCGCCTCAGTCCCCGGCGGGCGCGGGCGCGCGCGCGCTCTGCGCATGCGCCCGCCAGTGGGGCTCTGCCTGACCCACGGGGCAGCTGTCCGGCTTCGCGAGCCGGGATGGGGGCGCGAGCGGGCCGCCGGCTTTCTCTAAGGGGCGGAAATCCATTTGACTCCCAAGGCGCTATCGCGCTCTTAGGCCTAAAAGGAGACTTCTGAGAACTGAAGACTTCAGTCCCTCCCTAGCCCCAGGGACCACCAATACTATTAATTTCAGGGGGGGCCCAGGGATTGCTTGTTGAGCTGCTCTCTACAAGGTCAACAGTTTGAAACCAGCAGCCCGCTGTGCCGGAGAAAGTCAACGCCTCATACTCCCAGGAGGAGTTCCAGCTCGGAAACCCACAGGGCAGGGTAGCTATATGTCAAAATGGACTCCATGGCCTTGAGTTTGAGCTTGGTGGCCTCGTGGTTACGTGCTGGGCAGCTAACACCGGTCAACATTTCCAAATCACCAGCCGTTTGACCCAAGGAAGATGGAACTCTATTCTTCCAAAGCAGTGGTTCTCAACCTTCCTAATGCCACGCCTGTTTAATACAGTTTCTCATGTTGTGGTGACCACCCCACCCCCAACTATAAAATTATTTTTGTTGCTACTTCATAACTCCAATTCTGCTATTGTTATGAATCGGCGACCCCTGTGAAAGGGTCGTTCAACCCCCAAAGGGGTCGAGACCCACAGGTTGAGAATGGCTGCTGTAAAGAGTTATCGTCTTGGAAGCCCACCGGGACAGTTCTACCCTACCCTAAAGGGTTGCTATGAGTCAAGGGCAGTGAGTTTGGTTTGGTTTTGAAAATGCTATCCTGGGAGCTTCGGTGGCTGATTATTTTCTGCTCACTGAAAAACCAGGTTGGAATCCACTGGCAGCACCTAAATAGAAACACTTAGCTCGTGATCCGCTTGCATAGAGATTACAGGCCAGGAAACTAACTACATGAGGCAATTCTGTTCTGCCCTGCAGGTTGCTGTGAGTCAATGCTCAGCATAAAACAGAATTGTAGTCATTTTGCCCAACCCAAAAGGAAACTGAAGAGCATCAGAAAGGGAAAAGGTAAGAGTAAACTACACAAAGAAAAGAGGAAATAAATCTCAATGAAAGCTGCAATTGAAATATGCATAATGAATCTTCATACTCTGGTCCTCACTTTCACTCCATGTCCTTTCTGAATGGGAGGAAAGCCAGTATTAGATTTGCAGAATTTCATGCTTTTCTGGAATTTCTGAGCAAGTCTTCAGCGTGTCCATATTGTTATCTCCCAACACACAGCCCTTGTTGGGCAAAAACTGTGTCCAGTTAAATGAGTGTTTATGGCACCAAACAAAAGTTAGGCTTTAAAAAGGAGAGGAAACCTGCACATTTAAAGAACTGAACAGAAAGCAGACATTGGCAATCCAAGGAAAGAGACTCAGAGGCAAAGCAATTGGTCTGCAGAAGGAATCATCGTTGTCTTTTGGTGCCTTCTCTCTTTTCCTTGCTTTGTTGATCTGCTATGTAGCTCTTTGTCTATTTTTTTATTTCTCCTATATAATTAGACAAACTTTTTAATCATAAAGATGAACTAAAACATTGAAAATCTTTAACCTGTTTTGCCAAAAGCAACTGTATTAACCAGTAAGCTCTTTTTCAAAAATCTAATAACCATGTGTGGTTCAGTAAATTACTGAACACAGTCCCTTTAGCCGTCGTGCTCCACTTGGGGATGTATTATAAATCCTACTTCTGTGCCTGCAGTAGTCCCAGTTTGGAGTGAGGCATCCATTACATTAGTGAGACAAGATTAAGGTGGAATGTTTCTTGAGTTCCTGACCTACTAAAGCAGCGGTTCTCAACCTGTGGGTTGCGACCTCTTTGGGGGTCAAATGACCCTTTCACGGGGGTTGCCCGATACATAGCAATAGCAAAATTACAGTTAGGAAGTAACAATGAAAATAATTTTATGGTTGGGGGGGGTCACCACAACATGAGGAACTGTATTAAAGGGTCACAGCATTAGGAAGGCTGAGAACCACTGTACTAAAGGGTGTGATTCAAGTCACCACTCTTAGTTTCCTTGGGGATATGCTCAGTAAATTAGCAGTCATTTTTTTATATCTGTGTTAAAACAAAAACTAGTTTCCTTTTTAAAGTTGTTGCCTTATTAGGTGAATTTCCAGCTTCCTGTTTAATTAAGAAAAGCAAGAGTCTCGGATCGAAGCACTGGCTGAGACTAGATCTAGGCCACTTCACATGTGTGTAGTGACCATGTTCTCAACCTGACCTTTTCACTTCATGAGACTGAAAACACACTTCCAACAGTGCCCCAGACATGGACAAAAGACCATCTTTATGACCCCCTCCTTTCCTAACTGAGGGTGTGTAGAAGACTATTTTTGTGCTAAAGCATCGTGACAAACACCAGTCAGACAGCAGTTACCATCCTAAATGACCACTGGCCCAGAATGAGGAGAGCCATCATGGTGGCAAGAGTCCTTTGTTTGGCTAACCTTCCTTCACGGCCAGCATTTTGCTGAATACCTTTGAAAGTTCACTTTTTTTCTCTAAAACTGACACCAGGCTTACTTCCATTTGACTTCCAGCTTTCTGAACTTGAGCAGGCAGCCTATTGCCTGACCTGATTCACCTGCCTTGTGAGTGAACAGGCCAGTTTGGTGTGAGTATGGAGAATCCTCCAGACTGAACTATAGATTTGGGACTTGTCACCATCCACAGCCACCTTGATGGTCCATGAGTTCTGAGATGCTGCATCAAATTGCAGGACATTGTTGCAACTATTCTGATGTGCCCAGGGGCTCTTCATCTCAAGAACTGAAGAATAGATTCACGGGTCACCCAACAGCAAGCAGAAAACAGCTTATTTGGAAAGGAAAGAAAAGCACCTGACAAAACAGGTGAGGACTCCAGTGAGTTTCAGGTGTGGGGTACATGGCCTGTCTGTATTTTCAGGTTATTAATGGACCAATCCCTGCTCTTGTCCTATTTCTCAGGCCCAGTCATAAACCTGGTCATGCTCTCACCATGGCTGGGTCTTGCCTGGGCAAGGACAGGGAAGTAATTAGCTTGCAGTGTTCAGCAAAACGAGTCTTGGGTTTGATGACCTTGGAGTTTAAAATCAGTCTAGGGGTCTGATGCCTACAGGCTTCATATTTAAATTGTCTTAGGCTGTTGAGATCACTCTTCCAGATATCCTGCAGCTCCCAATGCATCCCGCCTTGGGCCTCTTTCCCTCACTTGTCCTGCTTGCTAGCTGTCCATCTCCTCTCCACAACAGGGAGGAAACTGTGGGGGCAATTTGGTCTTGGTATCAGGGATAACAGAGTGATGTAGCATTTTGGAAAAGTCAGACACATAAGGTAGCTTTAACCACCACCCCATAGAAGCCTACACTCAGTGCCCTCGAGTCAATATGACTCTGGGTGACCCTATAGGACGAGGAGTGTAAAAAAAATTCTAATAGGGAATTTTAACCTTTGGAAAAGAAAGCCAACACACTGCCTCATCCCATGTACTTCCTCACCCATCCCCAACCTGCTAAGCAAAATTAATGGCCTTATCTGCACTAGAAATCCCTGCCTATTCCTCTTCTGTGACCTTGCTCACTTTTGTGACTTTGGCCCTGTAGATAAAGTATAAAAGCTATGCCCACCCATCGTTCAGGGGCCCACGTATTCTGAGTCATCAACTAATAGTTTGCCTCTTTTAAGTTCCCCAAGACTGCCACCTGGTCATTCCTGAGTCAAGGCTTTGCTGTTACAGTAGAACTGTCCCTGTGGGTTTCTGAGACTAACTGTTTACAGGAGTAGTAAACCTCATCTTTCTCCCTTGGAGTGGCTGGTGGTTTCCAACTACTGACCTTGAGGTTTGCAGCCCAACTCATACCGTTACAACAAAGAGGTCAGCCCCATGCTAATCTAAAAAGAAAATATTCTTTTACCATGTTAAGGTATCTAATAACTTAAGTGTTACTAGAGTGCAGATAATTTAATAACCACCAAGTGTTAATCAGGAGCATTTCTTAGAGCTTAAGGATAACAGAGTATTTTTGGACAAATGGTCCAAAATAACTTGATTTCACCTGTTGCCCACATCTCAGTTCCTCCAAGTCCCTTTCTATGTTCCTAAACATTCATAAATAAAAAGCAATGTTAAGAAAACACAGTAAGAGAAAGAAAACGCAGTAGGTTGAAGGTATCATTTGATTAAAGGAAAACGATTCTTGGTACCAAAAAATGAATACAAAGTAGACTGTTATTAGATGCTTTTGAGTCCTTCTGACCCATTGTAGGGACAAAGAGATTCTTCTGTATTGAGATATAGGAAGAGTCTTCTACTATTCCAGTTCCTTTATAATCATACCCACTCCAGCTCTTACCAGTTTTACTAACTCCTGGCCACCAATAATCTGTTTTCCATCTCTATAATGTTGTTATTTGAAAAATGTTACATAAATGGACTGTGCCTTTTAGGATGGACATTTTTTCAATCAGTGTAAAGGCTCCTAATGTCCTCAAGGTATGTTTATACCAATAGTTAATTTTCCTTTTAGGACTGTAGGATTTCATGGCATGGATGTACCATAATCTGTCTAACCAACCAGTCACCTATTAAGGGGCATTTTGTTTGTTTCCAGCTAGGGGATTTTGCAAATAAGATAAGCCACTTGTATTTAATTTAATTATTGATATACAGTGAACCCTCGTTTATCACGGTTAATCGGTTCTAGACCCTACCGTGATAAATGAAATTCCGCGAAGTAGGATTCCTTATTTGTAAATCA